GCCGCGCCTCGTGGGCGCTCATTTCCTCATCCGACCGGGCCGGGCCAGTCCCCGCGGGAGGGACACTCCTACCTGAAGAAGCAGGCAGCCAGCGGCAGGAAGAGGAGGAGCAGCGCGGGCAGCAGCAGCCAGGCCAGCAGGGGCTGCGCGCCGGGCGCGGGGGGGCCTGCGGGTGGAAGCGGGGCCGTCGTGACCCGAGCGTGGGCAAGGCCTGGCATGGCGGGGAAGGGGGTCCGGGCAGGGACGGTTCCCAGCACCAGGCTGCACCGCACAGCTTGCCCCCACCAGCCCTTCTGGGACAATACAGCCCAGTCGGCACCTGCATCTCACCCCCTGGGTGTAAGCTCCTGGGAGCAGGTGATGATCCAACCCTCTAGCACCCTGGCACCCTGCAGGTGGCCGGTGCATCTATTTCTAGCGAATGACAAACTTGTACCGACTTGAGTGAGTGTTAGATGTAGCAGTACACCGAGGACACTTGGTCTGTGATGAGGGGGTGGCCCCAGCCACCAAAAACCTGGCCAGCCTGGGAAACAGCCTCTTTCCAGGATGTGCCAATGCCTCCCCCTTCTGGCTAGTGGCTCTCACAGGCCCCGTTGCAGCTAAAGGCCAGTGTGATGCCAGGCCCAGCGCCCGAGAGCATCTACCCAGCCCCTAGCCGGGCACCACCTGCTGCAGAGCTTCCCTGGGGAGCCCCTCTGGCCTGAGGCTTCTGCTGCCCCAGACGTGCCGGTTTCTGCACTGCACAGGGGTCAGGCTGCCGGGCTCAGCTTCTTCCTTGACAGTGACCGACTGGCCAGTTCTCAACTCCAAGGGCAGGTGGCCCTGGCTGGGGATGCAGGTCTGCTTGGGAGCTTCAGAGGGACACCTGGGCCACAGACAGCCCACCCCTGGGGGCCTTTGTCAGGGGGCTCACCTCCTGCCCCCACTTACTTTTTCAAGTCACTCCTAGACATCGTATCATTTGTAAATAACAAGTGTCTCTAAAAAGTAAGGACTCTTATTTTTAAAAGCCTAACCCCTATACCAATATCTTGTCTAAAATATTGACAATACTTTCTTTTTTAAAAAAAATATATATTGATTTCAGAGAGAGGAAGGGAGAAGGAGAGAGAGAAACATCAATGATGAGAGTCATGGATCGGCTGCCTCCTGCACGCCCCCTGCTGGGGATCGAGCCCGCAACCTGGGCATGTGCCCTGACGGGGAATTGAATCTTGATCTCCTAGATCCTAGGTTGATGCTCAGCCGCTGAGCCACAACCCAGCTGGGCGACACCACTTTCTTAATTAACCTCAACTGTTTTGTGGGTATTTAAATATCCCAGATTGGCTGTCAGTGTTTGCTCATGGTTGGGGGTGGTTTGAATGGGCTCCCACAGTGGGGTCTCTTGCCTCCCACTGCGCCTGTCGCCCGCTCTCAGCACAGGTTACATTCACTGCCTCCTGAACACTGAGCTTGGCTTTCCCGGCCAGCTGGGCTTCATAGGCGCCCAGCGCTCAAAGCACACGCCACCGAGGCCTGCCACCCTCCCTCTCCCTCCTCCCTCC